TAGCATTTGTGGTTACACTGTTCAGTGCTCCTGACATACCTGTTAAATTACTCGGCAGTTCGAGTGTAGAGCTTACTTCTTAGTGGTGACATCGCGCACAGCGTTTCCTGGCTAGTTGGCTAGACAGGCACAGGTCCAGAGAGAGTTGTCGAATTGAGAGACGCAGACGCACACAGAGTTGAAAGAGTCGACCCGCTACGTCAAGTGGATTGGGTCCTGGTGCGAATGTTGCGTGCGTCGCCTCGCTTGCAGCGCCTATTTCACCGCAATACCGCGATTCGGAAGTAACGCTCCACACTCCTCCTCGCGCGGTTGAACGTTGACAAAGTAGCATCACTAGCTCGCGACTCCTTCGGAACGTCGATTTCGACTTCATCGCCACAAGACCCACCAATGACCTTCGGCCCCCAAGCTTATCTCGCCACTCAAAAATCACCGGTACCATCTGCAGCACTGTCCGTTTTCAACATTCTTCCTGAAGGCGTTGTGAAACCGGTAAGCTGTCGAAATGTTGGCCATCGCGACCCACACTAACTCCCCTCACAAATTACATTATTATTATTACAAGTAGTAGCAAAATAAGCCTAGTCGCTAAAGCAAGCCTATAACGAAGCATTCACTTCAAGGTTACGAGAGTGATAAACCTCAATTAATCAGTAATGATTTGACCACGCAAAAACCACTTCTTCAAGCTCAGGCGAACATTTCAAATTTAAGCAAAATGCTGGCAAACAAAGGGAACGTATAGATCCTCAGTACAAAGATTTTCTTCTAAGTAGATCAAAAATAGATCAAAACTGAAAAAAGTATGCCTTCCATAAAAAAACGGTAGCAGCTTGAAGAAAAGCGGTAGCAGCCTGAAGAGGAAGTGATGGAGTGGAGCACTGAATAATCCGAGACCTCGATACCGTATTCTGTTTTCTAACGCTCGTTTTTGACCACAACTGTGTTACAGTAAATGAAGATCAGAGAAATTAATACCTCAAGTACAGGTTCCCCCGGCGGTGTGAAGTGATGCAATCAGTAAGGAAAACCGGGCTCCCCATAATGCTGAGATCTTCATTAAGTCGTTCACAATTCATTATTAACCTAATTAGTTGAACGGGGAGATGGTGCAGCGCTTATAGACGTCACTTCGCACTTGCGTGGTCAAGGAGGTGAAGTCCGGCGATCAAATCTCACCGCTCATTGCTTGTTACAAGACGTTTGTGTAGGAAAACGAAGGGTTGGCAAGGGCTCATTCTGGGACAGCGCAGATCAGTGTCCATAAATATCAGGGCACTTACTGCCTGTTAGGGAAAATTTCTGCAAAATACGACTCCCTTCCCCCAAAGTTTCCTCCCTGGTGAGACCCCGTTCCCCATCTCATCCTACTTACTATTTTCCAATGTTTTTTTGTCTTCCTGTCACATTCCCCAATTTCCAAAAGCTTCCCCTTTCTTCTTTCCCGAAGAACTGTCCTTGTTGTTCGTGGCGGGAAGAATGGGTGTATAGTGCACCCGAAACAGGAAAACACCGAGAAATATAAACAACCTAAAACGTTCAAAAAACACGCAGGCAAAAACATTATACGATTCCACTCACTCTAGTGTCTTGTATACGACCCCCCCCCTTGGGCATTCCCAGCGTAAGAAGTGCTCTGATACAAAAGGGTGGACTATCCCAAACAGAACCTCAATACTTGTAAACCCCTTCGAATACTGGTCAGCAAGGCGTTATAGAGCACGCCAGTGCGATGAGTAGCATTGTTCTCAAAACGAACTGGAGTTGGAGCACAGGGAAGGGGGAGGGGTCATATTCGATACGTTAGCCATAACCGCGGCTTATCTCATGATTCAATGGATAACCACTTTGGTTATCAAGGGTTCGGTGAAATCACCACAAAACAGTTTCATTCCGCTGATGAATTGTCGGTAAGTGATAAATTTTTTCGTGGTTCCGAATTAGGTTGATGAGGAGTGTTAGAGGGACATCGGGCGCAGTATCGCACGCGCTGCCTCCTTTGTCGCTTTGCCGTGATTTATAAGTCAAGTATGGCCGAATCAAACGAAATCATTCAATTCGCCTTTCAACTTACCGCACGGTGTGTGGCCGGCCTGTAAGGTGAGAGAGGGTGACTAACGCAAAACGAAAGTCCACTTTTCACGTGACAAAATTCAAGGAAACCTCACCACCACAGTACAGTACAGGAGTCGCTGCATCACCCTGTGTTCCTGCCTATTTGAATTATGAAAAATTTCATGACATGTGCCGTTTGAGAACTTCTGCTGTTACTGCCGCAATATTATTCCCACATAACAACTTCATTTCCTGTTGTGGGCCTGGAATAGAAAGAGTCATTGCCAAGGTAAATTCTTGAGCTCGCTTTTCTTTCAGTTAGTCTGATTCTTTGATATCTTCAACGCTGAACAGGAGGTACTGGAACTCCTGGACCGACTGGTCCTTACACTACTTCGCCCTTAAGGCATACAATTGAATGAATGAACACAGTCTTGTCTACATACATGGTCAAGCGTCTAAAAGTTTCATAGATCAACTGGAATTTTTTGATGAAACTGGTTCCGCTTGGTAGTTGGTATCAAGTCTTTCCGTCAATGCTGCAAAAACGGAAATCGGAACTTTGGCTGTTGGTCTGTGTTCACACTGAAGCGAGCCATCAGGCGTCACTGGGAAAGGGGTATGCAACTTCACGCAATTTACAATAAATTTCTCTACAATACTTTGTCACTTGTTGAAATGCCAATCGATAACAATTTTCTGTGATAATTGTGGTTCTTCGCACATCCCTGCACCCCACCGCTGTCTTCAATTAACATAAGCTGCACATCTACCCTGTTAGTGGTTATGTACTTTCCTGAACATCTTAGTAGTTTGGTAGATGCTAGTGGGGGGGGGCAGATTCTTGCGCAGAAGCGAAATAACCGTCGGATTCTTTCAATAGGTTTGTCATCCTCGCAGCTCATTCACCTTCAGGCTAGGGAAGAATTCCTCATCCCCAGAAGCGGCATGACTGTCGGATTACCGTACTTTCAACAAGCTTCCCAACCCCGCAGCTACTTCGCTCTTTAGCACCAGGTGGAAGGCCTTGTCCCCAGAAACCAGAATAACTGTCGGATTACCGTACCTTCAACAGGTTTCTTCAACAGGTCTCAATCCCTGCTCCTCCAACTTTCGAGCCCTGGAAGAAATCCTAGTCCTCATCAGGGTGATTCTAGTTCGACACGAAGATCCCTTCAGAGCTTCCTCAAGATTATTAGCGCTCTTTGGGTCGCACAGGCAGCCCTACGTCCGAGTCCGGGAGGCAGGCAAAGTCAACCTTCAAGGGTGTCAAAATTACAGTATCAGGACAACAAAGATTATATGGTGTACAGAAGAGCTTATCTATGACAACACAACGACAATTTCCTTTGGTAGAGAGTTTACCGCCGCCCGACTGCACTTGTTACTGGTTTGCAATTACAAGTTATTACATGAATGACGTCACGTACCAACGCAACAAAGAACTCAGATGAGTCGGCAAATATTACGAGCCGACGTTTGAACTCACATGTACAAAGCCATCTGTCTATGTTATCTGACTACAGGCTTGTCTATATAATAATCTATCATTGTTAAACAATTAGGATATTGATTTATTTCAGGAACAAAATTCATTGAAAATGGCTAAAAATACATACAATATTATATGACACATAGAACAATCTGTTTGAGTTATAAGATTTACAGGTATGTTCGCTACACACAGAAGGCTACGAGAAGGAGGTTATGTGGCATTGGTTACCCCTTCAACCCCCCCCCCGTGGACCCTCCGGTCTATAAACATCCTGGTGAATTGGCTTCAGCCGGTGAATCGATAAGATTTCGCTTCCGCTACTTACAAAGGCAATTTAGCACCCAAAATATAATGAGCTGGGTTGTGGCGCGGACGTCTGAGGTGAACCCGAAAACTCGGAGGCGATATTTGGTGAGCAAATATAATATACAGAAAAAATACAGAGTACAGAAAAGAAAATGCAATACTATTTACGTACAATATAACAAGTAAAAATTGTAACTCGTACATGGACACTTGAACAGCACTGGTCTAAACTCGTAAGGCTTTCACTCTGCACTATCGTTACTTGTGTCTGGGGAAAACTTTGTAAAAACCTTCCGAAAACCTATTATCATCTATCAGGTAAGGGCTATCGATCTTCTATTCTGTTTTTCCGGATGTTCTTCCTCGATTCTTCAATGAAATTGATGATAGAGTTCGGCTGGAAACATAGCCGTCGGATGGTGTGAGGGAGCGTAGTGAGGGGGCGGTCCATAGGCCACAGGCGGACGAATAAGCGGCGTGTTTGACGGAAACTGTAGCGACATCTGAACGGTTTGATTGGTATGAAATTGCGACGATTTTCCCGCCAAATCCTTTCAGGACCCTTTGACTTTGATCTACTCAATTAACGGGAGCTAAACGCTACTTACCTCGCTTACGTCAGGTTTTATGTTCATAAACGGATCACCAGGTGTTCCTGTACTGGCATGCCCTGAATCACTGCTCTCGTCCAACTCCGGTGTCAGACAGTTTTTTTCATGTGCCTGAAAAAATGGCGATATTCGTTGACGTCTCGTTTCGTAAACCCCCGTCCCTCAATGTTTTTATGGGATGGTTCATGAATGCGATTCCTCACACACAGCCCCGTTATGTGGTGCTTTGTATCAGACCGCTTGCCAGAAACCTGATTGCGATGTCATCCAGTTAGAGGAGACGACGAGACTTTCAGTTACGTTCAGCTGATCGTCGTGAGGTAGATGAGGGGGTGACCCGCTAGGGTTGGGGTCAGTAGACCCTGCGATCATGGCCAGTTATCTCTCGACGTGCGCGAAATGCGCTAAGCCGTCAAATGCCAATAACATGTCATCGGATTTGAGCGGATTTAGTCGCGAATTTGAGCGCTTGAGAAACCTGGCCCAGTAAGATGGAAGAAAAGGGTTATTGAGAGGACGGATTTAGATCTACTTAGTTGATTTCAAGACGATCACACACCTACCTTCATATGCTTCCTCAACGAGCTTGGGTGACTGTAGACCTTTTTGCAGCCTTTTACCTGGAAAAGCTGTACTATGAGTAAACTTCTAAGTAATGACTTTCATAGAAATTACCTTGCACTCGTAGGGTTTTTCCGAGGTATGTACATGCATGTGCTTTTTTCGATCCGACGAATTGGCGAATGTCTTGTCGCAACCGGCATGTGGACATGGAAACGGTTTTTCTTCTGAAAAACCGAGGTTCAGGTTAAAGTGGTGAGCAAGCAACATCTGGGCCTGGACTGGTAGCCATTGGCAATTTGGCGCATTTTTCTCGCTTCTACACAATGGTGCCAATAGACCCACTTTTGTCGCCTATGTACCATAATTACATACTCATAGTGAGAAGTATTGCCTAAGGAACTCATCGTTAGAACACTAGTTATTTGAGGTTATCAAAGTACACCATCTGCTATTTTACTAGTATGACTACTACAGTAACAAGAGTCTCATAAACAAATCATTAGCATAGTTGAGTCACTGAAAAATGATGCGAAATCTGGATCAATCGTCGTCAGCAGATGGTGAGGTCTGATAGTCGTCGGATGGAGGAGGAGGAGCAGGAGGAACGGATGGTGGTGAATTTGAATGTGAAACGAATCTTTTCATGTGAAAATTCAGACAAACGCGACACATACACACATCTTTTTCTATGAGGTCGCATTTCAATGAATAACGTCCCGTTTACGAATCGAGGCCGACAAGCGCTCAGACTGGCCCTGGCCATGGAAACTTGAAATTTAGCCCGAATCAGATGAGGTAACTACTACAGGTGTGTGTAGTCGTACGGTTTTGCGTATGGTTATATTTAGCCGATACAAATCGTTCGATAATTGACATGCAATTCGGCAATCGCCTAATTATCACACCTTCTTTGGACAGGTGTACATGAGGTAGAGCAGAGTGTCAAATGAGGTAGGAGCAGGAGCAGGAGCAGCTTAAGCGAGACAGATATTGCGATGAGATATTGCGTGATTGGACATCATGATGACCTGATCAGGTGATTCCACAGAAAATAGCGCGTGTTGGTTCAAAGTGGCCGTTAAGGGCAGTTGACGTATACACTTATGAATTCATAATCAGCTGCCACACACTGCACTCATACCGTATATGAGGGGGGACGTACGTGCGCCATAAATCAATGCCTGTTTCACCTTTCTCTATAGGGCCAGAACGGGCGAGATTTGCTTAACAATAGAAGACCATAAATAACACTAAATGGAAGTAAAATCAATTTGAAATGCAAATATCGAGTTGAACTTCTGCGGCAAGTCGACCTATACAGATCTATGAGGTGCAGGTGTCAGAAAGATGCCTCTCTCTAGACCATCTTGACGGTAATTCAAAGAGAATTTCGGTCGACCTATTCGAAATTGGCGCCTTTCCAAAGGATCATTTTTGGCGCTTACAACCTTGGGGAGGGGGGAGAGGGTCAAAGGACTCACTGATCAAAATTAGGACTGACGTCATCTGAATAAAATTACAGTACTCGAGTTGGTTCCAGCCACCCCGGTGCTTCTTCCCTCCCCGTTGGACTCAGGTGAAAGTTCTTATCTCTACTACTGTAATGTAATGTCAGAGTACTTTTTACTTGTTACTACGTTAGTCTTTATATATTGAGTTTCTGGGGGTTATTTATTCCAAAGGAGTATTCTACTTATTGATTGTGCTGCAGTTCAAACTGTATTCTGATTTCACGCAAGGTATCCTTTGAAATGGTCCCAAGGTTATTAGCTCCAACAGTTCCACATACTAAATTTGACAGTTACTGAGCAGTAATAACTTACTTGTATGCGTCCTCACATGAATTTTAAGATTTTCACTTCGAGCGAATTCTCGATTACATTGTTCACATCGAAACGGTTTTTCTCCAGTATGTACACGAATATGATTGACCAGTTTGTATTTAGCCTGAAAAGACCTATTGAGGTAGATCAAACTTCGATCAATATGGTTGATCTACACACCTTGAAAGGCTTTCCAACTCGATCACAATTTCTCCATAAACAGACATGGGTAGTCATTTCAATGAGACCGATATGGTGTTGTGAGACATGAGCTGCAACTTGGGATGAAGTAGCGAACATCAACCCACATTCTTTACCAGTCTGAAAAGCGTAAACAGTCAAGTAAAAGTAACGAAAAGTAAATTTATCGATCACGTATCGCAAGTACAGTAAGAAGACAAGTCAAACCTCATTAATCCATTCGCATCGAATCAACGTTGATGATGATTTTTGTGGAAATTGAAAATGAATAGGTGCTTGTCTGGAAAAAGTTATTACTAGTAATTGGTGGTTTGAGTTCAGTAGAAGAAAGCCCTGACACTCACCGATAAGCAGCGAAATAGTCAGGATGGGTGTTTTGCTGGGGAAAGAAAGGTGATCGTGAGCCGAAACTTGCACTTTCCAGGTAAAAATCCGGCAATGGACCGCATGAATAGGGTTGTATAGAGGGATCTCAAAAAGTTCATGAATATATACAACGAACTACAAATAGTAATGAATAGGATGAATAGAGATAGTCCAAGTGAAAAGAAATGAACTCACCACCTCGTAACATCATTCCCTGCTGTGGGTAACATTCAGCTGGCGTTGGCTCACGGCCAAAACGTTGTGGACAATATCCACTGAACATATCTATTTTCACGTTGTAAGCCGGAATAATAGAGTTCGAAGTACAGTAACCCGTAAGCGAAATTCTACCGTGCTGCACGGGTATTACCTCACAGTGGGTTGCACGGCTTGAGGCCAATCGAAGCCACGCCCCATCTCACTGTTTCTCTTTCGCCATAGGCAGAAAAGGGTGTGGCCGAGCGCAGTGATTGGTCAATGCATATCCATCGACGGGGCCCCACGGAGTGAGGTACAATTCGTGAGTCTCACCAGGGGTCGAGGTTGGCACTATTTAAACTACCTCATGACAGCTAGTTGAGTTTCAACAGTTACAACAGCATATGTAACTCCAACTGTTTTTCCTGGGTTATAGGTTTTACTAGTATCGCGCGAGGTGGTTTCGCAATTGTCGAAATGCGGTTTTCACTCTTACACAGATAAAACGAATAAATGATTAACTCACGGTATCCAAAAGCGAACAAAGCTCGGCGTCATGTAGTAGTTCATGTTCCGACCCTGAAAATTGGCTCTTTTATCACGTTCACCTACTGCTGACCTTATTTTTGCACCAAATTTTGTTCTATTCTTGAACTTGGAATTTATAACAGCTTTACTCAAACAAACTAGTAAGGCTGACCCAGGATATATTCTCTAAGGCGCTTTCTTGCCAAACCTCTCACATTTGCATTTTACAATAGCTACAGTTTTGTTAAAATTCAAGCACCCTTCTGCCAACTTTTTCAGCTTCGATTTTTCGAAGGATTAAGTTAGATTAAGTTACCAACGGGTTCTAAAAAGACCGGAAATACTCTTACAAGTTACTGAATACAAAGTAAACGTTACCGGCTGTCTAAAGAAATGAGATTCTTGTCTGGAGCGGGCCGTGTTGATGATGACGATAAATGATAGTGATGAGGAAGAACGAGAGGTGGTCCGAAGGTGATGATGAGATATCAGCCGATCATCATTCATTTATATCGCTATATCCACCCGTCGCCGAAGTGATTATTACCGGGTGACAGTGTTGGAACAACGATTAGGCGCGTGTGATAACATTGTTTCACTTCATCGTATCGTCCCTATGTTTTGCTCCTGAAAAATCAACTGGTTACTGCGAAATGATCGACGGTTTACCTATCGAGTGCTGAAAGAATGGCAACAATTTCTTTAATTTTTTAGCTAAGTGGGAAGTGGCGCTAGAAAAAGCCTCCTATGACTGTGATGATGAGATTAGGGCTCTTCAAGGCAGCAGTTCGCGCTCCAAAAGTTATCACAAGTATGTTAAGTTTTTGACAAAAATCTTGAGCCCAGGCGCGACTCGAACTCGCACCTCACTTTTTCCGGGCGCTACCGTTATTTCCATTATTTCTTATTGTAAACTCACATCCGCGCATCTTTTTTTCTTTTTCTTTTTCCAGTTGCCGTACAAGAAGCTACACATCCAGGCCAGCCTTGCCCCAGAGAAATCCCTGAGTAGACGAGTTACCCAGGTGACACTAGTCTCTTTCTGGACTGCGGAAACCACCTCCTCGAGAACTCCAAAGATCCCGAACAGACAATGCGGGTCCTTTTCCAGGACAAGATCCCGAATAGACGCTCCTTTCTACCCAGTGCTGAAAAACTCACCATATTGGCTTGAAGAGTAAACTTGTTCGTCCATTTCGGAATTTCAGGCTCAGACAATGAGGGTACTTTTTCTGCATTACGATGTTGGCGCGAAATCGTGCTGTTTTATGGGTTATGGGGACCGCCCTAGAATAAGTTAATGATTGTAGCTGTTAGGTACTGCTTCTTTGAGGCACTGTGGAGCTCACACGGATTGATGCTGCTTGTCTCGAAGATTCTGAGACCCCCCCACCTTGCCATTTTTTTAATGAGGCTAGGGCCGTAGTACCTAACGTGGACTAGCACTCAGTAAATGTTCTCCAAAATTGTTCAGTGCTGATCGAGTTCGGGGACAATTTCAGTATGAGCTTACCTGTAGGCATGATCTGTTAACCTTGAAAGGTCAGATAATCATCCTGCACATCTCAGCGGTCCTAGAAAAGAGCCACGCCTTAGCGACTAAAGGCCAAACCAATCCATTTCAACTTGTCCACATATCATTTTCAATTGGCTTTGTTTATGTAGAGGGCCGAAAAGATGGAGAAAACGTTTCATATAACTTGCAAGGTCATTCAACGATAATGTTACGATAGACGGTCGCGTGCCGCCTGCCGTGATTCTCACCACCAAATCAATCAAAATCGCATTCGCCGAAAACGAGTACGGTCGCACCAGATCGCTACAGACACATTGAGATAACTTCTTAGTCGACGACAATTCACAGAAGTTTTTCGGAGCTTTTGACCAAGGCAGCCGTGTTTTGGGAACCCCGGAGGTGATACTTGGTTGCCGGAGGGAGGGGGTCGCATTTGCCTCCTAAAAAATGTTTGACTTTCCTAAATTTTTCCTATTCCAAGTACGCTATCTCTTGCCCTACCCCCCCCCTGCTCGATGGTATTTCTGGGGAAAATTGGAGATTTTCTCCGGAAAGGTGGCACCAGGTTGAAAAATTTGGTGGTGGATAACATGGGGAAGGAGGGCCATACTAGCGTATCTTTTAAAGGAGACCTTACCGGAGGGGGGACTCTTCAAGGGGAGGGATGAGGGGCGGGAGGGGGGAGGGGAAGTTTACAAGTTTTCTCCGCAAGTGCCCTATTAACACTCTAAGGAACTTGAGGCTTCTCTGAAAGCCCTGTACACACTTTCCAGCAATAAGTAACATCTAAGTAATTGTCACTCGAAGCTGTAAGGTGCTCTAGAGACCAATTTTCGAGCATTGAAAAATTCAAACCCTTTTGGCTCAAGTTAATGACGAAGATGTGCTAAGAGGTCTAAAAATCCCAAGTTTCGGTACCTTTCTCTCTCCGAGTGGTTCCAGAGCAAATTCTAGACGAGTTACTGCTCCAGTTACAGCAATGATTATTATCCATCGCTTCAGGACCTTTCTTCATTACTTACGATGAGGCTAACTATGGAGCAATGCCCCTCCTGATGACGAGCCAATATTGAGGAGCTCGTCCACCCAGTCCCAACGAAATCTATCATAATGACATGAGAACAGGGATTCCACCCGTTCCTGAATAGCCCTATCTGCAGTGTATCCTGGTCTCTGCCAAGGTGTAGGGGATTAAAAATGGTTCAGAATTTTTGAAATCCTGTTCAACCCAGCTCATAGTTGTGACCAAAATCAAATCCCACATCAAAGATAAAGGATCTCAAAGAATCCCAAAATTTCTTAAATGATTTTCATAAAATGGCTTAGATTTCCAGCTAGGAAATCCTTGCTTATAATTTCTTTACAAGTAAGAATACTGGATTCGAGCGAATTGATTGCTACGAAGCGAACGAGTTCATTCACAACATCAGCTATATTGTTTTCATGTGGTGGCGTTGAGTGGTGGTGGTACGGTAGCCCGAGTATTAATTTCCATGTGTGTGGGTGTCACGGAAAAGGGGGGCAGGGATAACATCGCTCTCAATCTCAGCGCTCGCTAGCCCGGTGAATTCGCCAGCTTTCGTCTCTCTGGTCTAAAAGAAAAACGATCTGCAACGTCAATGTTCTGCCATCGGAGGTGGGATATGGCGCAATAGGTATGGTAGCCATCGCGTTAAGTATCAATTTCCAATCAAGCACCAATGAAGGGGATAAGAGGACATCCTTGCCTCTCTCGACGTCTGCCCTACCTTGGCGATATGGGCTAAAAACCGGTACAGAACTCGTCCACCATCTACCATCTTCGTCGCCGTCGTCGTAGACAATTTGCATAAGCGCCTCTGTATTCATTGAAAATCTAATCCACAACTGGAAGAAACCAGACAGCTCTCAATTCAGCAACCTTAACTGCTCAATTACTTATCCATTACTGAAAGGGCAACTTGTAATCCGCTCTATGCCCCAGGGTGACATGTTCGTGCACACCAGCTTTAATCCAACGGACTAAAAGTGACAGACATGTCCGTATTTATTGATCAATCACATTTCTAGCCACCTGAATAGGGCTATTGTCAACGGGAGACCGCCGATGGCAAGTTGCCACCCGTGAGCATTATAGAGATGGAATTGTTATTCGAAACATTACATATGAGCATGTGAATGAAGAGTATTGCCATTGGTAAGCTTCCTTATTACTCGACATGACGCCAATTTACGGACTCTACTACCCATCCACCTGTTATCCAGGTTCTCCAGCCCCTTAACTGCCTGGAGCAGATATCGCCCTAAAAATTCAACGATAACTATTATCAGGGCTATTAGACTCTCTATTGGATATTGGAGTTGAACACCTTGTAAATAGTAGCCATTCGACCTAATGGTTACGGTATTGGATTGTCCGCAATGTTGCGCAATATGTAGCGCCACTACAATTGAAAATGCATTGGAGCACGAAAATCGTCCCCATACAAATCCTAATTGTCGCCATAGAGTCTAAGTAACTACTTGGTAACTTGACTTATAATGCTGTACAGGGCAATTTTGATTGGACAAGGTTACTAGTTGAACAGCTTTTGTCTTGTCGTTTCCAATCAAAGAATGTGGTAACAATTGTCGTCAAGGTGCTAATCGTTTCGCCCAAGTCGATTTCGATAGAAGAAATGCCGCCTTTAGGCGGGGGCTATTCTTACCACCTTCGATTTGCCTCATAATCTACCACGGGCTGTTTCAACGACGATTAGTGGCGAGAACGATTATGAGAGAACGTTAGTGGAGAGAAGGAAAAACGTGACGACCGTAAGGTATAACACACGTTTTCAACTTGTTCTTACACCATCATCAAAGAAACACCGTAGTTGTGGTACGGTAGTAGGGAAGAGCCAGAAGAATTGCGCTGTGGTCAGCTGCAAGACTAGCTTGAACTACTGTTTGCCAAGGGAAAGCAAAATATCTCGGATCTACCGGAAATCGGAACTCCCAGGACCGGAAGTAAATTCTCATTCCAGAAGTTGGGCACTCGGTATTTATGTATTTCACGTTGAACTTGTTGGAGCTAGATATTTTGAAACTGTAAACAAAATATCTCTGATCTGTCGGAAATCGGAAGTCGTAAAGACGAAAGTCTCCGAGAACCCTCGCCGCAATACTTGTCGTATTTTCTTGGAAAATTCAATCTCTCTCAGGCTCCCGAAGGGAAAAAGATTGAAGTCACAGTCAAATCCATTTCTCATGGCTACGGTAATGATGGATGTACTCTGGGAGGCGTTGAAATCAAAACCAGTGAAGACCAAATCCGAACAGGATACCGGTGAGTTGGGTATCAAAACCACGGTCTTTTTACGTACTAAGTAACTTGACTTGCAGGTTCTGCTCATCAAAACATAACAACACTGTGCTAATTTCGGCCTCTAATCGTGTGCCTGTGATCACGTTCAACAGATATGATCAGCATGAGATCATCTTGGAGTATAAGATTGCTTCATAAACATTCACTTCGCCTCGAATTACAGTTGTGATCCTTGAAAGTGAGAGGGCTTGTGGCGAGGCGTGAACTGGAGCGTAGCCAAGACGGCTTTCTTCACCAATAACATTCTGACTACGCAGTGGCTGCAGGGAACCCTGCCCTGGCTGCGCTCCAGTTCACTCACCGTCACGCGCTCTATCTTTTGCAATGATCGTGACCGTATGTGCTTCGGAATAAACGTGAACCTGCAGTCAAGTGTTTCCTAACAGAAGTGTGCTTGAAGGGTTGCCATCCGATTTCACGGAAACTACAACAGGGATCGCCACTTTAGAAACCTGCTTTACCTATTCCAAATCTTCAGTCATGGTCTTGTGTACGACAGCAAACTCGGTAGAGTTCATCACGGTAGCCTCAGCCAGGGAACTGCCCATTTTGCACAAGTTACAACACTGTCTAGAGAGTCCCATCAGGGTTAATACCTGGGTATTCGACTGGTAGCGAGGGGATCTCATCTGGTCTCGAGGGGTGTTG